AAGTTGTCCACGGCAGGTGTTCTGTCTCTCTCCAACATGTATACGTGGCAGTCACGCATGTCCGCCATGCTCGGCACTTTGCCAGCGGTCATGTCCGACTGCAGTCGCTGCTCTTTGCGTTGCCGGGCACGACGATTCTTCTGCATCGTGGCCTTGACCTCGGCAGCATCACCAAGGAAGGTGAGATCCATCTCGTCTTCCAGTAGGGCTCCGGCAAACAGTGCCTCGAACTTCCTTTTTTTGCGCTTGTCTCGATTGAATTCTAGCTCCTTTTGGTGGGACTCCAGCCACGCATCACCCTGGGGAACACTTGCGGACTCTGCAGGTGCAGTTGATTGCACCACTTCTGCCACATTCTTTCTGCGGGCCTTGATAAATTCTTTGTAGCTCTCTCGATCGTTGGTCGCAACTTTGGTAGGTTTGGCACGGCCTTGGTCAATGCGATCGAAAGCACCCTGGCGGCAGGAGCCAAAGTGCTGCTTCCAGAGATTGGCCAGCAGTTCCATGCTGGAACGGACATCGTCTTCTTTCAAAGCCAAGAAAGACATGCGCAGGCTTTCCTTCTGCGGGTGAAGGTGCCTCGCCGAGGCTGGAATCTTGGCGGCTGCCTGGGAGAAGGAGCGCTCCAGGGCTGAGTCGGAAATGCATGTGCTGGCATAGCCGCAAAGGACCACGTTCAGACAGTCGCAGGGGTGTCGGGCGGCGGTCTCTCTTCTCTCCTGGCAGAATTCAAGTTTGGGGAAAGCCTCCAACGATAATGTCGCCTACGCCCTAGCAAACAAAACTGACACAAGGACACAATTGACCCAACTCTGCTCCTGGCATTCCTCTATAGCCTTCTTCCACGCACAGGTATTTGTGCAGCCAGACTTCACAGCGTGCCAGCGAGCTCTCCCACGAAAGTCCATCCATTCCGCTTTGAGGGCGGCAAAGTTACAATCGAACGACTGAGCCAGGCGCTCCAAATCTGTGCAGGCATCTGCAGGGATGTTCTCGCTGTCCGAGGAAGACAAGCTATCGAGCGCAGGCCAGGGATCACACACATTGAGCACACGCATCGCCGCCACGGCTTCGAATTCCGGAAATTCTGCCCTGACCGTTTCCTCTGCCAACGCAGCCCAGACTTGGAGCCTCCGCAGGCAAGCCTGCTGCAGCCGCACTGGACAAGCGGTTGGACCTCCCAAGGCTCTGACCTTGGAGTTGTAGGCCAGCACATGAGGCGACGACAACCATGTCAGCATGCACTGTGTGTGGCCTTTGACGGCCAGCACTCTGCCCTCAGTAAAGAGTAGCTTGATGGAGTCCAGGAATTTTTTCACCTGAATGTTTGCACGGGCTGCATCCACAACGTTCTCCTCTTGATCCATCCATCTAATGAGCTGTAGGGCTTCGTCCCCCCCATCTGCTAGGAGTGCTGCTGTCAGCAACACCTCGCTGTCCATTGCATCCAGAAATGCCTCAGCGCAATAGGCTGCGTGGGTGCCAGCACGCTCCCCTACCATACGAGTAGCCACAGCCAGGACGGCTTCAACATCCAGGACGAATCGGCTGAGAGGTGTCACCAATGATTCGTAACGATGCAAGGCCGCACGCAGATTGCGGAATGGAGTGGCCACAGCTCGTGTTGCTGAGGCCTTGGACGCGTCTGCAAACCACTGTTTGAAATCGAAGCTGTGTTCAATCAACTGAGTCACACTACTGGACCCAGTGATCAAGGAGGTCATGACTGCATCAAGAAAGGGGTCGGCCCTCCAGGGCCGCTCCAGCACCCGTCTGGTCCCATGCGCGCGGTCCCGCACAATCAATTTGTGGTTTGGGAACAGCGTCTCTCCCTCGGCCAAGTGCTGGCAATGGACTTCAAGTGGTGCTGCCGAGTCTTGAACAGCGGCCACCTCATTCCCAGCTGCATCAATCGTGGTGGACAGCACACACTCACGAATGTGTTGAACAAGGGACTCGTCCACCTCCAGCTCCTCCCCATTCATCCCAGGCCGAGCCAAACCAGGCGTCGCAAATTCCCGGATGACCCTGAGAGTCGCCGCGGTCAATCCGAAGGCGGTGCTGGAGTAGTCGCCCTTTAGTTGGCCCAGAACCCCGTTCGTGACCTGCAAGGTCTTGTCCACCGCCCGGAATCGAAGCAAAACACGCTTGTGTCTTTCGTCTCTCAACAAGCAAATAGCCACAGCATTTCGCAGGGATTCCCTCCAGCGCTTGCGCGCGGATTCGACGATGCACCATTCGATCCGACTGGTTTTCTTCTCGGCCGACACACCTTCTACAAAACGGTCCGTGGTATCCCTCTGCAACTGTCTGAAGACTTGGAGAACGACTTCCGCCCCAGGCCATCGCACTGCAGCTGTTTCTTTGGCGGGAACCTCGTAACCCAATAACTTGCACACGTTCCGCACATGCTCCGGTCCACTGCCATGCCTGGACAGCTTATTGGCAGCGGCAGCCTGCTGAGTCGTAAACTGGACTCCTTTGTCGCCAGAGCACACACTGCACCCAAGCAGCATGCGCTGAGGCTCGCCTTGAAACTCGTAGGTCAGCCAGGATTTGCCCAGCAAGTCCTGCGCCTTCTCCAGAGTCTCTGGGGGAGCTTCCCCTAAAGCCTCCAGCACTTGGGGGCTGATCAACTGGCACTTTTCTTGCAGGGATGGCAGGTGATGCCCGGCAGAGTGGCACGCGCAATCTGCTGTCTTGCAACTGGACACATGCTGCCTGACATCTTCCGGAGTGCCTTTGCAAGGCTGCCTGTTCCACTTTCCGCGGGCCATGTCGCCTAGCACCGAAGCTATAGCTAGGAACTGCCAGAAAACCGACAACAGGAAATCTCGCTATGCCCTAGTATCCTATGCCTAGCCAGTGCAGAATAGGACAAAGCAAAGAAAACCACGGCTGCAGCATGGTGGCCACTCTTGCTTGAGCATGGCAGAATCACAGAAGCGTCGAGGTCCACTACGCGATCCCAAAAGCACGGTCAAAATAGCATGCGCTTACAAGCACTGTCACTGCTCTCGGGATGTCAAGAACGTGAGCGCAAGCCTCCGCCTGACCCAGACAGAAGCGATAGCCTCTCAGTGCCGGGCTGTCCGGTCGCACTGCGCGGAACTCCGGTTCTGCTGCGAGGCGCACCTTCGTCTTTGCAAAGCTGAAGCTAGGTCGACGCAGCGAGGGCAGCGCGAGGTATTGGACGAGTCACAACTACGTCACTTCTTTCAAGCTTGCCTACGTGCAGGCTACCCCTGGCTGGCCGTGCTCACCCTGCTGCAGACAATGCTGGCAGAAAGAGCAGACTGTGCTCGACAAATTCAACTGTCATGGTTGAAGGACTTGGATTATAGCCTCGGCAAGCCAGCACAGATCAGGATTAAGAAAGTCAATCTCAAGACAGTTTGCAGAACGACCCCTCTAGCCAAAGACTTCGCCCATGCTTTGTTCGATTGGATGCATCATGAGCCTCTGAGAGGAGCTGGCAAGACGCAATGGCCGTACCAGGGACAAGACCTATCTCTCCACGAGATGTACCTCTTCCCAGGCATGGTGACTCGAGGCCGGAACCACGGCCAGCGTGACTGGAGGCGACCAGTCTCGGAGCGAGGCTACCTGAAGGCAATATCTGTGGTGGCTATGCTGCTGGAGAAGGAGCGTCGACTATCTAGCGGTGGCCATGTTATGGAAGGCGTGGACTTACGGAAGCTCGGCACTCACACCTTCAAAGCAAGCGGGATTACTCTCATGAGGGAGCAGGGGCATGCTCCTAAAGTCGTCTCGGCCATTGCCGCGACATCAACTGAGACCATTGACCGCTACTATGACAGACCTACGCCAAAACGGCAACGAAGGTGTGTCGAGGACTCCTTCGCCCAAGTCTTCTCCCATCCTACATCGGCTGCAATAACAGATTCCAAGCCCGCCTTGTCAGCCTCCGTGGCAGTGGACGGAAGAGTCCTGCCACCGAAGAAGGCAAAGTTCTGCTCTGACTGTGGGAAGAGACGCCTCTGCGAAGAACACCTTTACTGCCCTTTCTGCTGCAACACATATGACACTTGAGGATAATGGCTGGATCTAGCGTCCAACGGCTGCGGACTCCTGTGTCGTCGTCTCACCCCGGGGACCCCGGCATCCCTGGCCCAGCGAAGAAGAACCTCAAACTGGAGAGTCTAGTGAGTTTAATGCTCTGACACCGAAGTGGAACGTGACTTCATTCCTGCATACACAAAAACTTGAAAGGTATGCGAGTCTGCATAGACACCAAGTCATAGCCGGAGCAGTAATGCAAGTACATGAGTACGGACAGAATCACGGCACGAGGCTCTCAATGCTTCCTGACCTGGATCCCAAAGCACGCACAGCTTGAATTTGCTAATGCAACACTGACTCCTGAACCAGCGCTCTCGGCGTGAGAAAAAGAGGACGCCTCGAGATTTTCATGCCGCAACCATATGCAGGCAGGACCCCAAAGAAAACTGCTCTTGTCGTCAAGTCCCCTGAATCTGTAGCCCTTGGAGAACCCTACGAGGACACGGCGGCATCCGCTTGCCCGAAGCCGTTGTGTGGATAGCCTGAGTCACGCACAGTACGCTCGAACCGAACGCAAGACATTGAGGCGGCTGTTGAGTCTGATGCACAAAACCAGCTTAATGCACAATATCCATGGTCA